GTTTCAAGTGATCCTTTTATTTAATTCCATATCCTTGTCTGCTAAGATGGTTAGTCAATCCCTGTTGCAGATGCCTGTTCAGACATAATTGTATTTGTTCATTATCAATCCTTACCTTCTGTTTTCTTAATTCCTTCTCTTTTATTGTTCTCTCACCTTAATAATGTTTTCTTTTTTTTATTCTTTCACACTTGCATCTTAGTGGCTTTATTGTCTTGCTTGAAGTTAAATGATTAAAAACAAAAAAACCACAGGACCCACCTATGGTTTATACTGCAACTATGCTGAACTCAATAATGATCACCAATTTGAACAAAGCCAGAATGCTCAAGCTCTTGGTCACAATAACTTGTGACTTTGACAGCATGGTCGTGTGGTCTAGGGTGCTGGTTTAAGGCACCAGCCTATTCAGTGTGTGTGGGTTCAAATCCCAACGCTACCATTCATTTACTTTTTGTAAATACTATAGGCACTTAAACACCACATCCTGTTACACATACAATTAATATAGTATTATGGAGTTTTATATATATTTACAGAGTAATAACAACTTGGAAAGGAATAAGTTTATTATGTTCACTTTGGCACAAATATCCTTAGGAGAAGTATTCATCACTTCTCCCCCAGCTGTGGGTTAAATAGTAAGACAGACTGAGCTCTCTTGCCTTGATATAACCACTAGTCTAGGAGAAGGAAAATTCACAATCAGACTGAAAAGGAATGGGCCCTGTCAAGTTATCTTGCCCTAAACACAGCACAGATGCTAGATGGTACCCCAATGATTCTTATGGTTTACAGGACTTATGGCATGTTGCAACCTTATGGAGTTAAGCTGTTTGCAAGTACTAATAGTCTACAGTCTCTACATAAAACTTTAACCTACAGATACCTAAGACCATGGCAATATTTTTTGGTCATATATACCCAAGATGCAATTTTTGAATTGGAGATATAAACATCAAGCTAGTGCAGAAATTTAAATATCTGGAAATATATGGAAAAATGCGACACCGAGATCTAAAGAGCCATTGGAATAGCGAAAGAAGGATTCCAAAAGTTAAGCAATGTGCTGAGAAACAAAAATCTTATTAGAAACAAAGAAAAGTGCACTGGATTGCTATGTGATATCCATTCTCTTATAATCGTAGTTAATACTGGATAATCCCCCCGCCATGGATGAGGTAAAAACTAGAGGCAGCAGAAATGTGGTTCTACAGATGGATACTGAACAGAGTGAGAAAGCAACAAGAAAGGCTTAAAGAAAATGACAACAGAAAGAGTACATAGACTTAGAATCCAGAAATCAATTGAAATTTCTTGGATGCTTAATGAGGAACGAGGGCTTGGAAAACTTAGCACTCACAGGGTATGTTGAGGGCAAGAAACATAGGGGAAAGCAGTGAGCTACTTATGTGACAAGGTTGTTTAAATGGATGGCAGATTGGCGGGAGGCGTGCCTTAACAAAGGGGGAAAATCTGCTAAGAGCCACAGAAAGATAGGAAGTTGTGGAGAGCCATGATCGCCTATGTCCTGAAGATTAAGATACCATCAAATGGAGTAAACATTATATATTCTTCTGAATTTGTGGTAATGTGGGTAGTGTAGCAGTAAAATGGTTAACCATGATTATATTACCTTTGACCTCTCCTGGTGACTTACTAAATCCAAAATCTTTGTTAAAACAACACCATTACCCTTCTACTCAAGTTTGGTAAATAACAAAAAAAAAAAGAAGAAATATTTGCAAGAAAATAGTTGACTCAGCAGAAGACATAATCTTGCCATCAACCACAAGACATTTATATTGTTTAGTCTTTGCATTCATTCCTGAGAAAATTAATATTTTTCGAAGATTTTTTTTTTTAGATTGTGTTGGATGGCAAAACATTTAATGGAGCTTTATTTAATGAATCTTTTTTAGTCGTAGTAAAAAAAAATAACATAAAGGTTGATATATAGTCAGAGTTAAAAAAAACAAAACAAAACAAAGTTAACATACTTACTGGGTCCTATTGTCAAAATAAGAATTTTCTGGATCTGAAATTTGAAGTCGGCACAGATGTGCAAAATTTGTGTAGTGTACATGAATGTTTATTTGATTGGACAGTTTTCAAAATCTTGTTTAAACAGGATTACAGGTTTTCGTTAAAAAAAAGATGGAAAAACAAAAAGAAACAATTGGGAATAACAAAGAATATTTTGAAAAATTAAAAATGTCTATTTTTCTAATTAGTTTTCTACCATGTAATTTACAGAAAGCACAAACATGACAAGAGATGCAAATTGAAAAAGAAGTGAAGAAATGAATTGAACAAGAAAGAAATGAATGGGTCAAAAAGAGGTGAAGCCTAAAATAAAGAAAGAAAAAAAATGAAGGAAAGAAAAGAAGGAAGGAAAGAAAAGAAGGAAGAACGGCAAAAGAGAAAATTCAAAGATGCAGGCAAGAAGGCAAAATGGTACAAAAAATAACAAAAATGCACAAAACAAGCAAAGAAATAAATGAAAGCAAAACAAAGAAATAAAGAGAGAAATGCAAAAAAGTTTTTTTTAAAAATCATTGAATAGAAAGAAATATATTAAAAATAAAAACAGAAATATACAGAAACAAAAATATAATTAAAAAAACAAAGGAACTGAAAAATAAATAACCAAAAAAGAAAGAAAAAAATGATACAACAATAAAAAATAATGCTAAGAAAAAAAAAAGAAAAAAGAAAATGAGCAAAAAAGAAAAGAAAAGAAGCAAAGGTCAAAGAAAGATTACCTGTTACTCACTCATTTCTTTTGTACTTGTAAAATCTTTTATTTAAAACTGTTATTTATGCTGTCAAATTGCAAGTCAATGTTTTCACAATAAAATTTCATAAAAATACAAAATAAATAGGATTTAGAATTACGTCTATATTTATTTGTTCATCCAGAACTTGGGAGGTGAATTAGTTTTATAATTGCTACTAGTGATATTAAAATCTTCACAAATTGCAAGGATTTGAATGTTGACTTTAAATTCGGGCACACAGATGATCTCCAGTTGAAAGGGTGATACAACAGAATCTGTTTACCACCTTGGGGTAGGCTAGATTCAGCTAATGAATGAATGAAGAGTTTACCCACAGCAAAATAAAAAAAAAATAAACATGATAGAACACAAATAGTGATAATCAAATAAAACATAAAGAAGAAGAAGAAGAAGAAGAAGAAGAAGAAGAAGAAGAAGGAAGAGAAAAAGGAGGAAGAAGAGAGATAATAATAATAATAATAATAATAATAATAAGAAGAAGAAGAAGAAGAAGAAGAAGAAGAAGAAGAAATAGAAGAAGTTAAAACATTAAATAAAAAATAGCAGACAGTAAGTTGATACTGATAGGCTCAAATCATGTTTAATTCAACAATGAATTTTTAAAAAGCTAAACTTATAATTGGATTAGTCAAAATATTACTTTAAGTATCTTTTTGTGTCTCTTGAATAAAAATTGATCCCCCATTTACTTACCAAGTTACTGGTTTGAGCTTGCCATTGTATTCATCTTTGAACGAGTTGCTTTTAACCACAAACTAAGTTTATCAAGGTTTGTATCTTACCACAGTTTGCTTGTAAATAAAACCAGTTTTTATGCAGGCCCCAAAATGTGGCTCCAAACAGTGGAACCAAAAAAGTAAAAAAACTTTTTCTGTCAGACTATGTGGAAAACTGAAGCCAGTTCTTCATGGCAATGAAGCTGTATTGTGTCCAAAAGATTTACCTCTACTTGAAGGCAAGGCACTATTAAGAAATCCAGTCTTTTCTAGTTTTCTAAATGTAGACAGTCATAAAGATGCCAGTGGAGATAGAAACCATAAAAATTGTGAGCTTTTGCCATAAAAAATATCCAATAAAAATAAAGTCCTTGGGCCTTGTCTTTAAAAGAAACTCTGGGAAAAAGTGACCAGACTGAAGAGTGGTGGGTTAGTTATGCACACCTTTTAAACTAAATGCATTGCTTTTGGGAAGGAAGAAAGGAATTGTAGGAAGAATAATAGATAATAAAGGAGAAAGAAGGGACGTACGGAAGCAGGTGAGAAGGAACAAAATAAGATTGTTACCTTTTTAGATTGAAGGCAGGAGAGAATGAAAGGAATACAGATGAAAAAGGAAGAAGAGTAAAAACAACATTAAAAGAAAAATGGCAGCAAAGAAGGAAAACGATTTAAAAAAAAAGGAGATGGAAGAAGCGAAGGAAAAATTTAAATGCAGTGAGAGGTCAGAAAGAGGCAAGAAAAATTCAGAGAATGAATAAAATAAAGAAATGATGAATGAAAGGAGGGGAATCTGGATAAAAAGAAGAAAAATGGAGACACAAAAGAAAGTAAAATGGTAAGATCAGGGAATAAAATAAAAATGGCAGATGTTAGAAAGGAAATTAAAAGAAGAAAAGTAAGAAAGTGAAAGAATAAAAATGAAGGAATGAAATGAATGAAAAAAAGAAGGAAATGATAAATATGAAAAATAATATTAAAGAAAAAAAGTGAGGAGGGAAATTGAAAGGGAAAAAGAAAAAAGAGTGAAACAAAGGAAATAAGGCTGAGTGAACAGGAAGGAAATTATTAAATATAAGTAAGAAGAAAAAAAGATAAAAAAGGAAAAAACGAAAAAGGAAAGTAAGAAAAGAAGGAAAAGATCGCTCTGAATGAAGGAAGACAACCAGAAATTGGAAATTAAGGAATAAAAAAGAAAGATTTAGAGAAAAAGAAAGAAAGGTGAAATACAGAAAGAAAGTATTGATCAAAGAAAGAAAAAGAAAAGATGAATAAAAAATGAAAAAAAAAAAAAGAGAAAATTGTGATTTAAGAAAATAATATTAAAGAAAAATAGCAAGAACAATGGAAAAATGAGATGGAGGGTAAAAAGAAAAATGAAATAAATTGACACATTTAAAAATAGGAAATCGATAAGAAAAATTATGAACAAATAAGTGAAACAAGAGAAGGGATTAAAAATAGATAAGAACAGGAAAAGAAA